CAAGTAGTCTATTTTATGAGTTTATATAATATTGGCGATGAATCCATTCCTAAAAGTACTCTGTAATATGTTAAACGTTATGAATTGTACTTCAAAAATAAGTTTTATTTATCTTGTTTTTCCTCTATTAAATATGTTAAATACAGAATTCTGAATTAAAGCGAAAAATTCTAAGTGCCAATTAGTACCAATTTTAATTGAATCAAACAATTCCAATTCCAAGTCCTGTAAATTCATTTCCAATCTTCCCAAAATCTTACTTCAAATTTTTCCCAACCAAATTTCTCTCTCATCAAATTAACAATCAATTGATGAAATTGGCATTGATTACATAAACAAAGTTCGCATAATGAGCCTTGAATTTCTGTAATCAACATTCAATTTCATCAAATCAACATCCAAAACATTTGATTTAATCAATTCAACATCAAGTTAACTTCCCATCTTATCAAATCATTCATGAATAACATTAAATGCAGTCAAACTTTCATCAAATCAACATGAACCCAAATCCACAAAACCCTTCAAATTAACAAAGCACAAAGATGGTCCAACCTAACCTAGTTTTCTTTTTTTCTTTTTTTTTTACTGCAGAATATCTAGAGTTACATCGATTATTCTCTTGAACTCGAATTTGGCCCCAGCGATCCAAGCGAATTTAAACCACTATGCTAATGCATGATGGAGGGGCTGTCCCTTAAAGGATATGAAAAGTGTTGAACCTAAGACCTCTTGTTTGCAAGAGACTAGACTTAATCATTGAACAATTCTTAAGAATTTTGACCTTACGTGGTTGTTGAACTTTTTCCTCACCTAATTTTAATTGTGATATTTTCTATAGGAGCACTATTCCATTTCCAAATACATCACAAACATATATAGACAAGGGGAAGTGATGCCACTAGGCAGCTGGTGTGACTATGACATTAGAACTATGAAGCCCAGCAACAATATGCAATTTTGAGGGGTCTTATACTGTTTAACTAATGACTATCCCAGCCATTATTTCCCAATATGCTTCCCCCGCCAGTTAGAACCAAAACTACAAAGGATTGGCCAGTTCCTATTTGGAAGGCTATAATTTATCAAGTTTAGTATTTTTGCGCCAACTAATTTAAAATCCCTGGCAAATTGACTTGGGTNCGCCAGTTAGAACCAATACTACAAAAGGATTGGCCAGTTCCTATTTGGAAGGCTATAATTTATCAAGTTTAGTATTTTTGCGCCAACTAATTTAAAATCCCTGGCAAATTGACTTGGGTTGTAGGTATCTGTCTGACTGCACTGACAATATTTTGTGACGCAACTAGTTATTCCTTACATCAAAGATGAAATTAGTTATTAAGGACGAGCTATAAACTTTTTTTTTTGGTCAAAAGGACAAGTTATAAATTTAGACGTTCTAAATTCGAATCTTAGCAATCCGAGTCAGGTCATGAATGATTTATCCATCATGAATACCCTAATCTCAATCTGAATTGTGTCAAATATTGAATAAGATAATAAGTTCAGCCTTCCTTGTATTGAATTGTTTTTACTTCACCTACCTATGAAAGGACCAAGGTGATGATTAGTTCAGATTTGTATAAGTTTGTTCAGATATTCTTGACAAAAAAAAAAATAGAGTTATGACAGGTAAAAGTTAAATGAAATCCATTGAAGATTTAAAACCATATATATTTTGGAAGGGGGTTCTAGTAGCTTCTTTGTAAGTTTGCTACAAGTTTGATTAATTAATTCTATATGGTTGCAAACTCTTGGTAGGTGCAACAAACATGAAAGCAACAGTCAGGGGGCGGATTCACACTGGGGGCAGGAATTTTAAAAAATTTTGGGGATTAAGTGTAATTTTAAAAAATTTAGAATTTATTAGATATTTATCCCCCTGAATTATTTTTTAAAATATTTAAGGATAGTTTTGTTATTTTGACAAATATATGAGTCTCACTTGTAAATATCAATGGAAGATGATATCAAACATTTGGACATATAAAGATTAATTAATATGTTACGAAATAGGTTAGCCCTCTTATTTGTTTTATGTTTATACATCAAACTAAATTTAGGGCTTGTAATCCTCTTCTTTGTTTTATGTTTATATGTTAGAATTGAAAATTAGGGTGTGTAGCCCTCTTTTGTGGTTTATTTTTTAAATGTTGAATTGAAATTAGCACTTGTAACTCTTTGTTGTATTTTATTTGTTACATGTTGAATTGAAAATATAAAATTGAGACTTGTAATCATCTCTTATGTTTTATTTTTTATGTATTGAATTGAAACTAGGATTTGTAGTCATGTATTTATTTTTCTATGTTGAAATAAAATTGTGGCTTATAGTCCTCTTCTATGATTTATTTTTTGATATATTTAATTGATATTTGGGTTTGTAGTCCTCTCTAGTATTTTATTTTTATAGGTTGAATTGAAATTAGAACTTGTAGTCGTCTCATTTGTTTTATTTTTATTTGTAGAATTTGAATTAGGACTTGTAGTCCTCCATTATAATTAGACTAAATTATTTTGATTTGGTAGTTTGAACAATTTTATTGTGATAAGTTAATTACTTCATATACCTAGGTTTAGTTTACTAGAATAATTATAGTTTAAGTTAGTTTCGATTGTTTGTTAAAATTTAATGATGAATATTAAGTTTGTGATTGAACAAATTAATTTTTAAATTAGTTATGAAAATTTTTCTTAAAATTTAATATATGACTAAACTCAATTTTGCGGTTCCAAATTTTTTTGTTAGGTCTTATAGATAAATCTATATTTTGAAAATTGCTTATGTATATGAATTGCGTTTTTAATTGGTGTTCTATTAATAAAACTATACTTTTGTGAATATTTTAAATTTTAATATTAATATAGTTTAAGTTGTCCCCATAGGAGAATATGTCTGGCTCCGCCCCTGGCAACAGTGTACCATAATTAAAACCATTTTATATTACATTCCTTACCTATACCTTTTAAAATAAAGAGGGCTAATTGCTTAAAATATATTCCCTCAAGTATGGATCTCAGTGGATGAAGCCCCCTTTTCCTTCCCAAGAAGGCCAATGAGTTTAAGCCATGTTAGAAAAGCAACATGACTTGCACACAACTGTACTCAAGTGTCTGGGAATATGTCACTACTTGCATAAACTTTATTAGGCGAATTACATTTTCCACGCTAAAAGATTTTAAGGTTTTCATTATATTCCTTCAAATATTAAAATTTTCACATTATAACTTTAAATGTTTCAAAAATATTACAATGTGACATTTCTGTTAGCTTTTTCGTCAGCATCAATGAGTTGACTTTTGACAAAAAAATAATGAAAGCAAACATAATAGCCACATTACAACATTTTTTAATATATTAAGGGTGCAATATAAAAAATTTAACCTTTTAGGGTATAAAGTGAGAAATTTAAAATTTTTTAGCGTACAAAGTGCAAAAAGTCTAAATTTATTTGCTGTGGCAAGCGGCAGCAAACTGCTTTTGTACAAATTACATTTTACACCCTTTGAGTTTGTACCTGGTGTGATTTAGCCCCTTGAGTACTCTTAGCTGTAACAATCAAATTCTCAAACTTTTGGTTGTGTTTCAATCAAATGTATGAGCAATTCTGATGAGAAAGCACCACTTGCCCTGTTTGTTCAGCTGCGTACTTTGGCAAAATAGTCTTCTCGATTGTAGAAAACAAATTCTATCATCCTATCCTATCCTCTAAATACGTCCTAATTTTATAAACGATTCATTAAGAGGGAATGAAATACTCTTTTATTACCAAACTTACCCCTCTATATGGGGCACGTGATGCTTTTCCAGCAAAATTATTGATAAACTTGGACTAAATTATTGAGAACTTAATTGGAATAAAGCGAAAAGTGTGAGGATTTGATTGTTTTAATCGATAGTTGAGCCATCAAATAGAAATTAAGTACAAACTTAAAGGGCGGAAAAAACAAAAAGGGTGAATAACACTTTCTACCCTAAAAAATTTTAAAATTTTTATTTTATACCCTCACAAAATTAATTTTTTTTTATTATACTCTTAATGTATTAAAAATATTACAACGTGCCTTTTCAAGTTGCTTTTCGTTAGTTTTTCTGCTAGTGTCAATGAGATAGTTGTTGACTGAAAAATAACGAAAGCTAATACAAAGATCATATTACAACACTTTTAATATATTGAAGATATAATGTGAAAAATTTAATATTTAAGAGTATAAAATGAGAATCTCGAAATTATTTATGGTCTAAAGTGCACAAAACCCAATATAAAATGTGTCCCGTCTTTTTTCTTGGTTCGGAGGTGTGGGGCACTCCACACACCCCCCGTTTCACCAACTAACTTGGATGGGTACAATACAAGTGATTACTCACTTTCATCCATAAGCCAACCAACATATTCTCATTGGTCAACAAATCATCATCTTTACTAAAGAAAAGCAACAATGAATCCAAAAATATAAAGTCTACTAGAAGATGAGAAAGCTAAAGTAAGTGAATTCCATTTTGTCCTTTGACAGATTTAAAGATTTTTAATTTATCCCTGAATGATTAATTTTTTTATATTATCCCCTCAAAGAATAAAAAAATATTGCAATAGGTTCTCATCATCTTATTTTCATTTGGTTGTCAATTTATTCTGTGTCAACTCAATCGACCATGAATCATAAAATAGACTCACAACCAAACGAAAATAAAACGGTGAACTACATTACAACGTTTTTTATTTTTTGAGGGGCAATGTGAAAAAATTAATCATTTAGAGGACAAATTAAGAATTTTTGTATCTTTTAAGGGGTAAAATGAGATTTTTCCGCTAAAGTAAAACCAAAGAAGTATATGAGAAGCTAAATCTAACCTCCACTTCCCCCTCTACTTTGCTTCCCTTCCCATCTAAGCCCTCTCTCTCTCTCTCTCTCTCTCTCTCTCTCTTCTGAGTCAATGTGAGATTGTAAAACATAGAAACGCTGGTGCTAGTTCTGGTAGACATTTAGATTTGGACATGGGGTCTATAGACACCCCAAATCCTTGGGCACCTTATGCAAGTTTTAGGGATTGTTCACAAGGGATTTGCAGCATATACTGCCAACAGTGGTGCAGCATAATTTTCACTCCTCCTCCTGATCCACCAAATGACTCTGGCACCACCTTCTCACCTCTCATAATCGCGGTCATCGTTATCTTGGCAAGTGCTTTCATTCTGGTAAGTTACTATACTGTCATCAGAAAGTATTGTAGGCGAAGAGGCAATCGAAACCCGAGTCTAGAATTTGATCCAAATCAAGATCAAGTGACTCAAAGCCAGTGGCAAGTTGGTTCAACTGGACTAGATGAATCAATTATCAAGTCCATAACTGTTTGTAAATATAAGAAAGGTGAAGGGTTGATAGAAGGGACAGATTGTGCTGTTTGTCTTAGTGAATTTCAAGAAAATGAGAGCCTAAGGTTATTACCAAAATGTAACCATGCTTTTCACCTCCCTTGCATTGATACATGGCTCAAGTCTCATTCGAATTGCCCGTTATGTCGGTCCAATGTTATATCTATGGTTCCATTGCCTTCACCACCTCAAAATCCACACAATTTTTCTACTCTCAACATATCTGCCTTTGAAATTCAGCAACAGAATGATCTGATTTTAGTTGTTGATGATCACGAAAGGGGTCATAGAGAAGAGGTGGTTGTTAGCCTTGTTAGTGATGATCTTCCTAAGAACAGCTTTCAAGCTTCATGTTTGGTGCAGAATTGTGAAATTGGACAAGAGGGTGTTCAACAACAGTTTAGAAGATCAATCTCTTTGGGTTCATTTTCGAGCCAACGCCGTNCCTCCTAAGAACAGCTTTCAAGCTTCATGTTTGGTGCAGAATTGTGAAATTGGACAAGAGGGTTTTCAACAACAGTTTAGAAGATCAATCTCTTTGGGTTCATTTTCGAGCCAACGCCGTCTTCTGATTTCTGATATACTACAGATTGGTGAAGATGATGAGGATTTAAGAGTAGAAAACACTCAATTTTCGATCGGAATTGGTTCCTCCAAAGATCCTCCAGGGGATCATAGCAGATCAGCAATGAACAGATCAATTTCCACAGGGAAATTCATGGTCACACGGCATGACAAAGGAAAGAATTCAGTCCTTCCCACCTGAAAACTATAATTATTGTGTAAATAATAGGGATTTCTTTGAGCTGTACATTAAGAGCTTTTTATCAAAACATATGAAATCTACAAGCAGGGATGTTTACTTTTCTTTCTTACTTTTTTCAATGAACTGTGTGAGTTTTTCTCTTTAATTTGATCCAGATTCTAGTTTGAAAGTATGGCTTCCATACCCAATGTTTTTCTCTTTCTAAATAGAAAGATTAAAATTTTGTTTCGTTCCATACTTCCATTTGACTCAAAAATAGAAATGTTTTAGTAATATTTCAAAAATATTTCAGAATCGAAATGGAAAGAAAGAATAAAAAATCAAAGTTTGTTTGCGAAACATTTGAATTATTGATTGTAACATATCAAAACAACTTGAAATATAGGAATTTCAATATTCAATAAATGATTTGTTTCAATTCTTGTGGAAATAAAATGTCTTAGACCTTTTTTTGTAACGAATTTTAGTTCCTTGCTTAATTTGTTTTTTTGGTCAAGGGTATTCGAATCAACTTACATGTACTTTGATTAATTTTATCTTCGGTCCGATAAAAAGGCAAACCCTCAACGCCGAAATTATGATATCAACAAAAGATAAATCTCCCCTAACCTCAATTCCTTGCGTAATAAGCTTAATTACATGTACACTAGTACGCATGAATATATTAATTTTTGCAAAACAATAACTAAATGTATATTTATTATTTGAAANTCAACTTACATGCACTTTGATTAATTTTATCCTCGGTCCGATAAAAAAACAAACCCTCAACGCCGAAATTATGATATCAATAAAAAATAAATCTCTCATAACCTCGATTCCTTGCGTAATAAGCTTAATTACATGTATACTAGTACACATGAATATATTAATTTTTGCAAAACAATAACTAAATGTATATTTATTATTTGAAATACAAAATAAAATCACCAAAGGGTACATATGTAAATATGTATGCTAATCTCTTGGCGTCCAAGTTTGGAGTACCTGACTTCTATCAACTAACCATCGAAGTCACATCTCAAAATTTCGACAAATAGAGTGCCGACTGAATTGGTGGGTCCCATAGTCGACTTTCATTAAAGAACAGGAATAACGACCACCAAACTTAACAGGGATTACCGCATGGTATTGAAAAATAAAATTTTGATATGATATCGATTTTTATGATACTTGTAAGCATTTTTATCGTTGTTATAAAATTAAAAAAAGTGGTAAAATTATTGATACACCCACAAATATGATAAAATTACTTATAAAAATGATANACTTTTATCGTTGTTATAAAATTAAAAAAAGTGGTAAAATTATTGATACACCCACAAATATGATAAAATTACTTATAAAAATGATAATTTTTTTATACTGAAGAAAAATGATAAAATATTTATCACAATAATATTAAAAATACTCACAAATGTGATAAATCACCCGTAAAAGTGATAACAAATTTTGTTATAAAATAACCAACAAAAATTATAAAAATACCCATTAAAATAATAAAATTTGAAGGTATAGTACTAATATTTTGAATAATGCTACAGATTCCAAATAAAATCTAAAAAATTATAACCTTAATACATATTATTCTTTAGATAAATAAGTCTCATCAACTTTTTCGGTGAAACTCACTCAACCAACACTCATCTAATAGATAATATGCATCGAGGTTACACTTTTTAGATTTCATTTGAATTGTATTGTATTTTTTTTAAAAAAAATTGGTCGAAACGGTAGTCAAGTATATGATAATATATCTTTGTTTACGTAGTCCTAACATTTGACTAGGATATTTCCNTCTTTAAAAAAAATTGGTCGAAACCGTAGTCAAGTATATGATAATATATCTTTGTTTACGTAGTCCTAACATTTGACTAGGATATTTCCAGAGTGACAATTAGTTATTATCTACAAGTGACATTGTAGATTCGACTCTGAAAATCAATCTTTGAAAATAGGATTAAGTTGCCATCCACGTTTCCCTTTCGACCTCTGTACAAATGTTTGTATAAAATATTAAACTTATGGGGCATGCGCCAAATTTTTAATAACTTCACAATGCACTTGATAACCCATTTATTAGACAATGATATTGGCATGTTGAGAATGATATTAGTAGGGCCAATTATAGTTGTAACCTAATTTTTTTATGTTACCTAACATTGCCATTATCAATTAATGTTCTTTTTTACAAGGATTTTTTCACAGAGAGAGAGAGAGAGAGAGAACTAATTAAATTGACAAAAATGGACATGGGTCACAATGGGACACATGATACCATGGTTGGTCATCCACATGATTTGCTAGTATTTTCTTCTCAAATGATTGCAAATTAATAATCAATGTTGTTAGGTTGTATTCATTTCTATTTGGATTGTGAATAATAAATTTTAATAGTCAACCATGTAATTTCTTTTTATTGTAACTATTACCAAATGTCACCCACCCTGATGTAGGGAAGCCGGTAAAATAATAGTATAATAAACGAAAAGGAATAATAAAAATAAATCATTGATTTACTCACAAATACCAATTTAAAATTTTATTCTAAGCCCNCCTGATGTAGGGAAGCCGGTAAAATAATAGTATAATAAACGAAAAGGAATAATAAAAATAAATCATTGATTTACTCACAAATACCAATTTAAAATTTTATTCTAAGCCCGTAGATTCACAAAAAATACTAGAAGAATTGTAAATAAAAGATAACATCTCTCAATTGTATTGAATAATCAAAAGTTGCTTAACCCTAAAACTTACAAATATTTAAATAGCACTAAAACCCTATACTAATTAGGAAATAACTAAGCGTGACTTAATTATAATAAAAATTACNTTGCTTAACCCTAAAACTTACAAATATTTAAATAGCACTAAAACCCTATACTAATTAGGAAATAACTAAGCGTGACTTAATTATAATAAAAATTACGTAGTTATGCCATTAATACAAATTTTGCCCAAAAAGAAAAAGAAAAAGAAATTTTCAAACTAATTGTACTACCAAAAAAATATTAATCACTTGAATTAAGACAGAACTAATAGTGATCAATTATAACTTAAAACAATGAAGTTGTTTATCTATAAAATATTACCAAAAACAATGAAAATAAGTTTTTTAGATTTTAAACTAAAGAATTTGCTCGAAATTTGCACTAGGTCACGCATCCCCAATTGGGGGNAAACAATGAAAATAAGTTTTTTAGATTCTAAACTAAAGAATTTGCTCGAAATTTGCACTAGGTCACGCATCCCCAATTGGGGGTGCGATGAATTCATTTTGTCTTGTTGTTCCTAATTAGGCGTGGGTGTTTAGAAACCTATGTATGTAGAAGTAGTTCTGAAAAAATCAATCTGTTTGATTGGCTCAATCTGCCTCGATATCAATCTCGGCGATTCATGTACTGTGTTAAGATCCGATTTGTATCACACTATCAAAATAAATAAAAAATAAATGAGAGGCAAATACTGAATTTCCGAGCTTGATTATTATTTTTTTCGCTCATAGTTCACCCAAAACTATGGATTTGGATAATTGATTAGTGTTACTTCATTTTCTGTCCTCGTCATTAAAAATAAGTAATAACTAACTTTATATATCTAATACCATGATTGCTCTCCGTATCGCTTTCGTATTGAAAGGTTTTGTGTTGCATCAATGTGAACTTCTTCTATTTATTCAGTTGCGACCTTATAATGCAATCATATTATTTGCTCTAATTATTGTTTTTGTTTTTGTATTTCAAATTTATCTAAAAAAAAATGCTTATAAACGATAACCTAATGGCAAAATGATATTCCAATTCATAAATATTCAATGATTTTGAAGGAGTACTAAGGTAACTTGATCAAACAACAAAATTTCATTACTTAGTCTCTCGAGATCCCTAATTCAAGTCTTGTAAGCGATGCGTGATTGAATCAATACACATTATTTACAGGTGATTGTTTATTCGAGTTTAGTAATAGTCACGAGTCTAAAAAGTGCATGATTAAAATAATTAACTAAAAAAGTAGTATGGTGTTGGTACTAATTTTTTATAAACACTAGTAGATGCACACGTGTGTTGCACGTGAATTATTTTGTTACATGATTTTTGNTGCACACGTGTGTTGCACGTGAATTATTTTGTTACATGATTTTTGTTTTCCTTGATCTATGCTTTATAGGAAAAGTCAAAAAATGAATAGTAAAAATATAGTAATTGTATTAAAATTCAGCCCATAATTAATCTAAATTCAGTAAAATACCCTCCAAACCCGATTCATATTAGATCCCTCCAATATTACACCAATAAATGACCCACATTATCTTTTTCTAAGTATTATTTGAATTTTAGTAAAAAGTTCTATTTGACTAAGTATAATTTGAATTTTAGTAAAAAGTTCTATTTGACTAATTCAGACAATAACATTGGTCCCCTTTGGTCAAATTGTTTGAATTCCTTCTAAATAAAAATTTTGTATTCATATTGAATATGGTTATGGTCAACAAACCATAAATCATTTT